CCTGTCCTTAATATTTGACTTCTACTCACACTATTTTGATCGTACGGCTGCACATCAACTTCAACAAATTTGTCAACTTTAGGGTATTTAAGAATTTTTTATAATTAAACCAATAAGACTACTAACACTTGTAATTTTATATATATTCTACTCTTAATGTACTAGATTTGAATGATATTTGGTTGTGTTTTCAAGTGAAATAGTCAAAGAATTTGATCATTTTTAATAGTGATATTGGAATTGTTCTGATACTGTTGTGGTTAACAGACTTAAAGTTGAAGTACGTAAAATACTAGAGAACAATTTTCATGGTGGCAATGAAATCATGCGAAATCTCCTCTTCCTATAATGGTCGACTAGCTTACAGATTTTATTCGTCAGACAGGCTCCAACCAAACGAATTGGAGTGGCACTTGCCAAAAATATTGACTTCATGATGCAGTGGTTTAAATGTATTAGTCAACCGATTTGTGACTTAATTTCGTTGGGGAATGAACGTGTCGAATGCTAGAGATATTCGCGTTTGAATCGTGTAATTCTTTCACATTCTATGTACCATGTTTACTATTCAGTGTTTGAATTTGATAGGTAGAAACATATCTTCAGGAAAACTGTTAGAGGCTTTCCCATTAGCTCATACACTGAGCAATTGTAATGGGATGATTAGTTTTGCATTCACCTTCAAGCTTAAGTTTTCATGGACGAAACATTTGATATCCACTTCAAAATGCTCTTCGGTTGAAGTATACACAAAAGTTGTGTGAAGCGTTTATGAGACATATGAAGCTCTTCCATAGTAGTGAACTGGAGAAATTAAACAGAATGGTTTCGAAACAATGTTTCTACAAGTCCAAGTCTCACCTGGAATGGACAAATGGACTTCTAAATAAATCTAGTCATAAGAATGAGTGCGGGGTTAGTTGACACAGAAGAAATATCTCATCTGCTACCTAAAAACGTTGCATTGCCTATAAACGTAAATGTTTTCTTTCGTTAAATTACTGAATACAAATGTAGGAGACAGATAAGAGTTGAAGCATGTTGACACTGCTAGGTCCAGATTTTCATAACGAAGGTGGTTTCATAGGAGATTCAGAAGTTCAGTGTATCAGAATGAAATGCATTACTGATTAATTGAACAAATTCAAATCTTTTTGGGTCGACACACTTCGATGAAGTACTGATTGAATGATTAGAAGAAAATAATAGGACTACATCTGAGCTATTGTGGGGGATTTTGAGGCATGTAACTAGAAGTCCCAAAGACTGATTCTTAACATTCTAACACGTATAACCATCCAACATGCACATCAAGTAATAACAAATATTGATTTTTAGATCGGTTCGTTTTTCCTTCTGAATAACGTTAACTCCTTTCAAACCTAATCTTGTTTCACTTAAAATCACTGGCTGAAAAAGGTAATGAATTTATGTGTGGAATATGTCTTCTACTTCAAAATGGAGCAGCTTCACTCCATACTGTGTAAATCAAAATGTGACAGTACTAGATGGTCAAACAAACTTCAACTGTAAAATAGATTGCATGAACTAAATAGGCCAGAGAGGCCATCCTACTCATCTTCACATACATGAATACAAGCTAGTAATCCGAAGATGTGACAAACACTCGTTCATATTAATTCACGCAGACGACTACCGACACAAAATCGACTGGGGTGATGTAAATATATTAGAGAAAGGAGTCATTAAGTATCCCAGAGAATCCCTGGGGTTCCCAAAGACAAATCAGTTTCCAGTTAGTCGACATGTTGATATGGATGCAATCTACCAAGCAATGAATAATAAATAGGTGACAGGAGAGAAGGGTCAAAAATAGGGATGACAAGAAGACCAGTTTCCATGCAGGCGAGTACAATCATAGGGAAATCTACGACAGCAGCCAGTTGCAGTAGTCACCAGGAGAGACAAATACTTCATTCATGAGGAATTTCATAAACTCACTTCACTTGGACTTAACTCTGTAGATATTGTCTGAAAGGGTAATGAAAGTTTCGCAGTTAAACCATCAAACCTAGATACCTTCCGATTTGATAAGGTAACCATTCATGCTAGAACTAAGGGATAAGGAATTCATGAGAATGGTTTTAACAGATTTGTAGTGGATATCATTTTCAAGTCCAGAAACAACTGACGCTAAATTTATTAGTTATCATGCACTGGTTCTAAACAAGTGCGTTCCGCAGTTAATTTTTTCACCATTCTAGATTGATTTGTGCACAGATCAATGATGAAGCCACCTTAATGTTCAGTGAAATGTATTTAGGCATAGTCACTCTAATCTTACATATGCAATTTCAAACCCGGAACTACATTTACGATATTTCTGCAGTTACTAAATGGACTTGGAGGAACATGATTCGTACAAATATGCGTTGAAAAACAATTCGTTATCACACTAAATCTTCTTTGGTTAGCTTTGTTTTGAAACCATAGTAGATGTGCTATAACCTCTGTTATTTGGTTTAGTGATCTTCATTGTTATTTTGACCCTGAATATGTCCTTTCAACTTGACGTCACCTATTAATTCTTTATTAATTTCATATATATTCCTATGACAAGTCTGTGTGTGCTCAATCAGATTGTTCAAAATGTGTTGCGCAAATACATTTCATAACTCAGATAAATTACGTCTTATTATTGTTTTGTCTTTATTTATGATCAGTTATTAACTGGTTTCATTATAGTGAGATTCAGCCATCGTTAACATCAGCTAACCATATCTCCTTCTCACCAAAATCGAATACGGTGTAGAAATTCCTCATAAATACATCGCCAAGAATCCAAGCTCCAGGGGGGACTCCATCGTTACTAGCGAATGGTGATGTACACTTTGTGTTCAACCAGTTGACTTCCTGAAAGCGAAAATGAAACGAATTTTATAAATCTCATGGATTCACAATCTCGAAAATGAAAATTAGAACAACCATGGGAAATGAGGAAATTCACCAACTTTCCGGCTAAATTTGTCTGTTTAGAAGCTGAAACCAATATTTTGCATAGAATTGATGATTATTTCTGTGTAGAATGAATGATAATCGTGGAGCTGGATGACACTTGCCGATGTAAGAGAGGAAGAAATGAAACTAAGGAACAGTATTCCGCAAAACTGAAGAAGAGACAGGGAGATAAATTCAGTGAAATTCTCTGAAGTCTTCTGTTGACAGCATTTCGAGAACTTTCTTTGCCATTTATTTCACCTCACCTGCACTTGCTCACCAAATCGGCAAAGACAAGTTGTAGGTTTTGGTGACTTCAGTGTCAATTCACCAGCTTCATGTCTCCGATGGAGTCAACTACGTGGACTGTACTAACAGGACATTGTGTAAGTAGACTGATGAACACTTACCAGCATGGTAGTCCAAGGAATAAGTTAGTACAGGGCAGAGAACGACTCAATTCTGGAGGACGATTTTACTTCGTTGCACGTAGCATCAGAACAGAGTTACTTCAAAGTGATATGTGAAATAGAACCAGGCATTTCGACTGGATTTCGCCTACATTTCATGTAACCAAGGCTTCTGGAATCCACTAGGAAAAACCGGGACTTTATATTCAAACAAGTTTTTATCCAGCCTCCTTTACTAAGGTGTCTTTAGTGACAATTTTGTTGTGTAAACAACTTTATGCAGTATTTGCACATTTTTTTTGTAACTCACTTTCAATGCACCGATCTCTGGCTCTTATATGTCATTTCCAAGTAACTACTAATCATTACATAAGTAATTCCTGGCCGATAACTGCTACCTTGCCGTGGTGGTCGGGCTTGAATGGCACAGTGACCCAACAAGCTAAACTGGCTGGGACTCATGTCCCTGCAGTTCCTACCATGCCAGGAAGGTTGTTTGGATAGCGGTTAGACTAAAGGCAGTTACCATGGGGTACATGGGCTCCAGAATCCAATCGGACCAAATGGCGTATGAACCCATATGGGTCACTGGCAACCATGGGAACGCAGCACCTGACGCTGCTCCGCTGCCTTGCGGATTAGACTCCAAGTCAAAGGCTCGGGGGGTGATCCCTTAAGAAAACCACCTGCTTCGGTCTGGGCGCCCGAGCAGTATCTCAGCCCTCACACAATAAATGAAATGAAGCGACAAACTATTATTGAACCTCACCGCGTGCTCGTAAAAATGATTCCAAGAAATAATGATACATCAAGCAACTTATGCCCTTCCAACCTTTATTTTATTTTTATACTTAGTTTCCTGTATTTTACCTTTGCTCACCTTGACTTCTTAACCTTCAACAGCCTTTCGCCTTTGTTTGGATTCCTAGCCTATCTGTGTCGTTCCGAGATGTTAGTGAGTAACCATCAAAATGGCTGTCCCCAATGTGACATCTAACACAGATATCCTGAAACCGCGTGCCGCGTTCAAGCTGGCCACCTACAATGTTCGGACGCTGATG